TGGCCTTTATTATGTTGAGGTACTTGCCCTCTATACCCATTTTGTTGAGAGTTTTTATCATGAATGGATGTTGAATTTTGTCAAATGCTTTTTCAGCATCTATGGAGATGATCATGTGGTTTTTGTCTTTCTTTTTGTTTATGTGGTGGATGGTGTTGATGGATTTTCGAATGTTGTACCATCCTTGCATCCCTGGGATGAATCCCACTTGGTCATGGTATACGATCCTTTTCATGTATTTTTGAATTTGGTTTGCTAATATTTTGTTGAGTATTTTTGTATCTACGTTCATCAGGGATATTGTTCTGTAATTTTCTTTTTTTGTAGGGTCTTTGCCTGGTTTTGGTATTAGGGTGATGTTGGCTTCATAGAATGAGTTTGGGAGTATTCCCTCCTCTTCTATTTTTTGGAAAACTTTAAGGAGAATGGGTATTATGTCTTCTCTGTATGTCTGATAAAATTCTGAGGTAAATCCTTCTGGCCCGGGGGTTTTGTTCCTGGGTAGTTTTTTGATTACTGCTTCAATTTCTTTGCTGGTAATTGGTTTGTTTAGATTTTGTGTTTCTTCCTTGGTCAGTCTTGGAAGGTTGTATTTTTCTAGGAAGTTGTCCATTTCTTCTAGGTTTTCCAGCAGTGAGAGTATTTTATGTAAAGCTTCTTACTGCAGTGCTTGGTATCTACTGGAAAATGTTAGCCCTTTATTAAAGATGAAAATAATGGTAGGCAGGGCGTTCCCAGCGCCCCTTGCTGGGTGGGTCTTCCTAGGTAATGGGAGCTAAGAGCTATTGCGGTGGCGGGCCCTGCCCAGCAGGGTCTGAGGGCCTGTCCTCCTCCCACCCAGAGCTGCCGGAGAACTGGACAGACACTCGGGAGACACTGCTGGAGGGGATGCTCTTCACCCTCAAGTACCTGGGCATGACGCTGGTGGAGCAGCCCAAGGGCGAGGAGCTGTCGGCTGCTGCTGTCAAGAGGATTGTGGCCACGGTGAGCCCAGCCAGGGTGGAGGAACCATGAGCCATCCCCAGCTGGCTGTATCTAAGCTGCCCTTGAGTCCTCTTGCATCTGGCTTAGGGACTGTGATAGAGGGGAGCTGTTATTGGGCTTACTGGGTCAGGGTAGTATCCTCCTTTCCTGCTGTTGTGGCCATGGCTTCTCCCAGCTTCACCTTCCCCAACTCAGTCCCCCTGCCTAAGGGTTGGTGACTTAGTGTCAGGAAAGGGTAGTGGGGTTGTTGCTGTCACCCAACCACTTGCCCTGTGACCTGAGGGCCAGGGCATTTCCTCCTCCCCAGCTCTGGATAAGCATGGGCCTGTAAATCCACCTCCCTTGGTGGCCATGGGCACCTCAACTCAGGCCTTGGCAGGTGCAGTGGGTGGAGCAGAGCATCCCCAGGAGTCATTTTGCTTAGTGCTCAATCTGAGGCCGTCCTAACTGTGTGGCCTGGGGCAAATCCCTTCATAGGAGTCCATTTTCTTGTGGGGAGAAGTCCTGCTGCCTGGAGGATAACTTGAGGTCCCATGTTTGGTGGACAGCAGGTGCTCAATGGGCAGCACTTGTCCCTGTATTTATTAGAAGATGCTGTTGGCTGGATCGTCTTCCTCATAGCATCTGCCAGCTACAAGCTATGGCCTCACATGGGCCTCGAGTTGGGCTTAGAACAGCTAGGTGTAGCCCATGAAGAGGGTCCCAAGTGAGGCAGGCAGGTACCTCTGACCCATGTCTGCTCCAAGGCCAAGGCCAGTGGGAAGAAGCTGCAGAAAGTGACTCTCAAGGTGTCACCACGGGGAATTATCCTGACTGACAACATCACCAACCAGCTCATCGAGAATGTGTCCATTTACAGGTATGCTCAGCATTACCCACATTTGTTCTGCTACTTGGGGCTGTGGGTGGTGTCCCCAGCCTGAATCCAGGCTGTACCATTTCGCTGGAGTCTCAGTTTCCTGTCTATAAATGGGGGTGGAAGCAGTGCTGTTACGAAGTGCTGAGTGCATAGCACCTGACTCACAACAGGCACTTGGTTAAATGGCAGTTGCTGCTGTCATTCTCACTAGTTGCAGTAGGTGGCTGAGGCCCGGTCAGGATTGGGATCTTGCCACCCCTCCCCACCCCCCAGATGCTGCTGAGTCAGGCTTGGAGCAGAGAGCTGCAGAGTCCCTGCCTTTTCCTTCCTCTGCAAATGGAGCAGCTCAGTCTTGGACATGTGGCCAGGCATCCAGGGAGGCCTCAGGCAGTCTTGGAATCCAGCCCTTGGAACCTCAGGCTGCCCCTGGCCCTCTCTTGGCTTGTCAATTGTAGGACTTCAGAGCTGAAAGAGACATGCAGAGAAGCTGAGGCCCAGAGAGGGAATTGCCCAAGTTCTCACAGAGAGCTAGTGGCTGGGCTGGGACCAAGACATTCTCCACCCTCTTGCTTTGTTTGTAAGCTGGTAGCTCAGTTGGTTGGAGCACAAGCCAGTACTAGGGGGATGGGGAGCGTGGATGTGTGTTGTAGTGGGGGCACTTTACCGTTTCAGGCTGGTGTGTTCTTCTCACCTTCCTGATTCTACCTGCTTCTTTTAACCAGGTGAGGCATCGGATCCCAGGCCCTGCCCCCAAGGAACTTGTAGTCTAGGAGGGAATGGAGGGGAGGAAATAGATAGAATGTAAGTTTCTCAAGAGGGCAGAGGAGGGTCCGGCTTGGGGAAACCTGGGAAGGCCACCCAGTGGAGGTTAGCAGGAGGCTGAATCCCCTAGGATGGGGAAGAAGTAGCTGGGGTCCTGGCGCCCCCTTCCTCTGCCTACCTGGAAGTCCTAACTGCTTCTGATGCCTTTGTGATTGAAGCTGAGCCTCACTGGTTTAGGGAGTCTGCTGAACTCCTGTCCACCTTTGGGCTGCCAACTCCTCTCCTGATTGAGATTGTCAGGATGACTGGAGCCAGCAAGGGGACAAATGCTCCAAGAGGAGGGAGCCGCTCTGTCCCTCCCCGACCCCCTGGGGCCCCTGGTCTGGTCCTCCTCACACATCCTTGCCCTCCTCCCTGCTTCCCGGCTCCTGGCTGCAGTTCCAGAAGTTGCTAGCAGTCTCAGTCACCCTGGGAGGGATAGGCCTGGAGCTCATCCAGCCTCTGGGCAGGGGCCTGATCAGAGGGCGGGTAGGGGAGGGGCGGCCAGGTGAAAGACACTGGTGGGCTGGGCAGCATCCTGCTTCCTTCCAGCTGGTCAGCACAAGCCCTTAAGAGCTAGTAGCATTGCAGTGGCTACAGCCTTGGAATTCACTCCTGAGTTCAGGTCTCAGCTCTTCCACTAGCTTGGTGGTCTGAGACCACTAGCTTCCGTTTTCTCATCTAAAAAGTGGAGATAATAACAGAACCTATTTCAGAGGCAGCTCTAAGAATTAAACGACATGATATTTAGAATGTTGCTTGGTATGCAGTGGGGCTCAGCTATTACTACTTGGGGTATGGCTCAGTAGAGAAAGAAAGTGCCCTTTCTTCTGTCTTTTTCCCCACTCCTTGCCTAGCCTAAGTTCCCCCCATAGAGGGCCAAGGCCAATCTCTTTGGAGCCTCAGCCTGGTAGAGTGGGATCGGAGGCTCTCTGGAACTCAGGGGAGATGCCCTGTGAAGCATCCTGGCTGTGGTTGGGAGCCTCTGCGCAGGTCTGATGACACTTCCCACTTGGCTTTCAGGATCTCCTACTGCACAGCAGACAAGATGCATGACAAAGTGTTTGCATACATCGCGCAGAGCCAGCACAACGAGAATCTCGAGTGCCACGCCTTTCTGTGCACCAAGCGGAAAATGGTCAGTGGGGAGAGGCTGGGGCATGGGCAGGCTGTAGGTAGCCTCCCCTTGGGGGCCCTGTCTGGTGGGGCAGGCAGGACCCAAAGGCAACCAAACTTAAAAAAAAGTATAAAATCCACTGCAGTCAGGTGGGTAACCTGTCAGAGTGGGCTGCCCTGCCGGGCTGGCCAGCCTGCCTATGGACAGTGACAACCCTGTGTCCCCAGTGAGTGCCCTGGACCCCTTCCTGTCTGAACGTGACTTTGGGTTTGCGATTTTGGAGAATCTCCTGTCAGTAGTGCAGTCTGGAGGTACAGGGCCTTGTAGGGATTAGTCCTTGTAGATGAGCGATCAGAGGGGCCCAGGATGACAAGCAAAGGCAGGAGCCCTCAGAGGACCTGGCTTGCTGTAGCCAGACTGGGGAGGGAAATGACTGTTTGGGGGCACCTGTGGAGTGCCTCTTCCAGAGGTAGGCCTTCAGGTGTCTTCTCATTTAATCCTCACAGTAGCTCTCAGAGGGGGGAGCTGTTACTATCTTCATGGTTTTTATTTTTAATGAGGTAAGAGACTCAACAGAGGTCAGCTGTCTTACTGGAGGTGACACAGCCAGCCAGGCAGAGTGAGGGTTTAAACCCATGTGCCTTCTCCTCCCAGCATGACTGTGAGGAGCCAGGAGCTCTTTGCTCCATTTTCAGGCCACCTCTGGTCACAGATGGGAATGTTGGTGGCCTCTGGGCATTTGTCTTGAACTTTGGGGCAAGCAGCCAGAGTGAGTACACCTTAGGCATTGAAGCTTGCGTTTCTGAGGTGTCCAAGATCTGAGCATGTGCCTCGGAAGGAGTTTCCTGACATTTGTTGAGTTAGTATTGGTCTCTGTTAACCTCTATGTACAGAGCCCAGAGCCCCAGTCCCCATGCCCAGTGGTCCTTGGACCTGAGGAGACAAGATTCCCACCCCCCCTACCGCCCCCCCACCCCCATCATCACGACACATCAGTCTTTAAGTGACCCCCCCAGGCTTCCTGCTTCCCATCAACACATCTTTAGATAATGGTGTAAGTTTCCTATTGCTACTGTAAGAAATTACCACAAACTCAATGGTTTTAAACAATATAGACTTACTCTCTTACAGTTCTGGAAGTCAGCAGTCTAAAATGGTTGGCAGGGTTGTATTCCTTCTGGAGACTCCAGGGGAGAATACATTTCCTCGCCTTTTTTGGTCCCTGGGACCATCTCCATTCCGCGGTTCAGGGTCCCCTTCTCCAGTCTCAGAGCTGCCCTGTAGCGTCTTCCGTCAGCCCCCATGCGTTGTTGCCACAGTCTCTCCGTTTGGCTCTCCTGCCTCCCTGCCATCAGGCCCCTTGTGACTGGCCCGACTGGGTAATCCAGGGTAACCCCCCGTCTCAAAATCTTGAATTAATCGCACCTGTGAAGTCCCTTTTGCCATGTGCGGTGACGTTCCCAGGCTCTAGGGATTAGGCTGTGGACCTCGGGGGGCCATGGCTCAGCCTGCCACAGGTCTTGTGGGAGGAGTGCTGTCCTGTAGAGGAGATGGGCCAGGGCTCTGATCCTGGCTGGCATGCTATGTGGCCGTGGACGCCATCTTCTCGGGCTGCATGCCCATCAGCAGAATGAGGTCACCTCAGTGACCTCCAGATTATCCTGAAAGGCCCAGTTTCTCTGGGGCACCGTTTCTTTCCTGCAGACTCAGTGTCGCTGGCCACTCATCCAGGGCCTTGTGATGCCCGGGTTCCTGAGCTGCAGTGGCTTCTCCCATGATAGCTTTGTTCCTACAGACAGTGACTCTTGGCTTTGTCTCTTATGAAGCTGCCCAGACTTAAAAATACAGGCTCATTATGTCCCCATTGTTTGTCTCTTCCTCCCCACCGACCAGAGCAGGCGCTGAGCAGGGGCAGCTGGCCCACAGCCATTGCTGCAAGTGGCCTTGGGTGGGAGGGGCCTCCCAGGATGCAGAGGCTTCCTCTGGGGAGGGGAGGTCTGAGGCAAAAGAAAGCAGGTCCTGGCCCAAGGGCTCAAAGGAGACCTAGCTTTAGGCCTTTAGACAGGCTTGAGTAAAATCAGCCTGCTCTAGGCTGAGGTCAGTCGCTGAGGAAAACAGCCTGCCCACTGCATGGTGCCTGCAGCAGAGCCTGATCAGGCAGAGGCTGAGAGGCTGGATCTCAGCTTATCCTTCTTCTCCACCTTTTCCCACCTGGCCTCCCCTGTCAGGGGGCCTGAGGAGGCCCCTGGGAGAGACGGCCCAGCCCAAGATGGTATAAAGAGACCACCTGCTGCTGTGGTCCCCAAGGCCTCTGCTAAGCTGGCAGTGTGTCAGTGAGTGGTCTTACAGCCTGGCCATGTTGGAAAGTCCGAGATTCTTGGACTTCGTGGACATTTCTGAGGACGAGGCAGAAGATCAAATGGGTGCCTCTGGTTCTACAGCCCACCTTCTGGCAGGTACCTCTGCAGCTGTTCGCTGCTGCCTGTCCCAGGCTCAGCCTTGTTTTGGGCACTGGGGACCCAAGGGATCAGCCATGGAGAGATGAATGAGGCAAAGAGCCCAGATTCAGTAACTGGGATACCGGGCTTGGTTCTAAGGTGGAGGTTACTAAGTCCCACTGGAGGTCAGCAAGACTTGCCAGTGAAGGAGGCATTTTGAGTTGGGCTTTGAAGGCTGAGTATTAAGTCAGGGTTTTCTGGCAGAGAGACGGGGTGGGGGGTGCGGGGGTGAGCACATTGCAGCACTGGGGTCAGTGAGTGCAGAGACACAGGTGCAAGATTAGATGGCATGTTTGGTTGAAGACTCAGAGGTCCCTGGGGCCTGGGTGGGTGGCACAGAGAGTTAGCCTGCAGGGGAGCCCTGGGTTTGGATGGTGACGTAGCCCTCACTCCCTTTGGCTGGGGGCCTACGGTCTGTATGCCTCGCCCTTTCTTTCCTGGCTGCCTGAATGAGCTAGAAGCCTATGACCCACCCAGGGTGGGGGGAAGATTTTGTGCAGGGTGGCCCATCACCTCAGCCAACCTGTGCTGCACAACCACCTGGCCGCCCTTCCCCAGGGGCTCCTGTTAGGCATGGCCAGGATAAATTTCTATACAAAGAAACATTTCTATCTGTCCAAATGGGGGGCCTCAGCAAGCACTTCAGCCTCTGGGCTCTGAAGTGGAGTGGAGTTGCTGGTTTGGCCGGGAGCCCAGGGTTGAGGTGCAGGTGGGCTGGTAGTAAGCAAAGTAGTAGTCCCTCATTCTGCCCCAGGCCAGGTGAGGCAGAGCTATTTTCCCTTACAGGGCCATTGGCATTCCTCAGATCATCCTTATGTGCAAGGAGTTATGTTTCTGGGCAGTGGGGTGTCAGGGGCCTGTGGCCTGACTTGGTCTGAGCACCAAGCTGGCATCCAGGATCCTGGGGTCCTGGCCCAACTGTGTTGCCCTAAGCTAGACCTGGGTCCTTTGAGAGCTTGTAGCCTGGTTACTAGGAACAAGATGGATAAGAAAACCGGGCAAGGTAGAACCTGCTCTGGGTAGTAGACCCACAAGCCAGAGGCACTCAGAAGAGGGGTAAGCCTCCAGCCTGCCAAGTACAGGAAGGAAGACTGCAGTGGGCAGGCCTGAGCAGTCCTTCTGTCTGATGCTGCTCTGATTCCTGCAGCTGCCCCTGGGAGCAGGGCCCATCCCACTTGCAGCCCCTGCTCAGCCCGGGCTTGCAGTCACATGCACACATCCACGTCTTGGGTTATATTTGCTCTAACTTGCAGACGGGACTTGGGGTGAAGGGGCAGGAGTGTATGCAGATGAACAAGCAGATTTATGCAAAAACAGCATCAAGCTTAGGCCTCTAGATTTCCTAGAGGCAAAAAAAAAAAAAACAAAAAANCCCTGCCGTATTAGGTGACCAGTCCTTGCTTGGGTGTATAGTGATCTGACTCTGGCTGGTAATCAGCCCATATTTTTAGTTCATGTGCGATTCTCAGTGGTAACTGGGTCTATTAAACTTGATTCAAACGTGACAGCTTAAATTGTAAACAGCTGTGAAGAGTTTCATACTTAATTACCATATTTAAGTTTTGCCATAAAGCGCTTGTACTTCCATCAAAAATGTAAATGACGGAGACATTCAAATGAGATTTTCTACTTTGTGAAGTTTAATTGGCATGGATCAGTCAGCTTGTTTAGGGATTTAAAAAAATTTTTTAAGAGTTTTAAAGGCAGTAGCCTCAGATTCATTTCTCAATTAAATCAAGTTGCCTGGCAGAGGAGAACGGAGTGGGTCTGAGGCTGGTTAGGCCCCAGCTTGTACATTTGAAAGAATCTGGTGCTTTCTTCCTAGGCTTCCAGAAGGAAGCTAGATGTCACTTCCAGGCACAGGCTATAGCTATGAACTCTGGGACCCCCCCACCCAGAAGCTGAGCTAATTAACTCTGAATGGGCATCGAAGAGAGGAAGTGCTGAGATGAATGTGGGTTGGGGATAGGTCCTGGCTAGAGTGTGAAGCCTCAGGAGTCCTATCTCGTGGGTAATTACAGTTCAGCCAGCATGCTGCACCTCTAGAGGGCTTTGGTCTTGTCTAGGAATCTGGTGTTTAGACTCTATTTTTGCCTTTAAGGCAGCACCCAGATGGGATAACACAGGCAAGTGAGCTGCTGACACTTTCATGTGCATGATCCAGAGAGAGGTATGCGGGGCTGTAGGAGCCCAATGCTGGTGGTGACATGAGAGAGATGGTGACATTGGAGGTGGGTTTGAGGGGTGGATGGGGTTCCCCAGGGGTGAAGGGCCCTCTGCACAGCTGGGTTATGGCACTAAATAGTTTTGGGTCCTGCCACAGGCACTCATTGGCATGTTACTCCTGCCGAGAAATATGTAAGCCTCCTGCCTCTCTCTGGGATGCAGTTATAAGCACCTCCGACCTAGCATAGTATTAACCAGAGTCTAACTTTTGTCCCTCTGGCTGTGGCTCATTCAGGCAGTGGCCGGGCCCTTTCCAACCCTGGCTTTTCTGTTCTATAATTCCAAGGGCTGAGGTACTGTGTGTAGTTGTCAGGTAATTAGAGAGGCCTTCTCAGAGAAAGTAAGCCTCACAGCTAATTGGATTTGGGGAAGCCTAAAGAGGAGGGAAGAAGCCAAGGTGAGCGGCCACTGCAAAGGTGGGGACTGGAATGAGGGTGGGAACTTTGGCGGGACTACAGGCGGTGAAGATGGGGCCCCAACTGCCTTGGGGAACTGGTTTTATTATACCCTGGGCTGCTTTGGTGGCATGGGAGTGGCCAGGACTCTGTTTCCACCCACCAGGCATTCCATAACCTTGGGCAAAACCAGGGCAGTCCTGGCCTGGAGCCCCTAGGCCTCCAGTTCAGATTCACTACAAGTTACCTGACTCACTCCTCCCCGGGACCCCACCTCCTTGTGTTTCAGGCCCAAGCTGTCACCCTCACAGTAGCCCAGGCCTTCAAAGTTGCCTTTGAATTTTGGCAGGTGTCCAAGGAAGGTGAGTCTTGTTTGAGGACATTGTGGGTGGGTAGCGGTATCGAGCAGACTGTTGAGGAAGGCTGGCAGAGTGCCATGGGGTGGGGAGGGGAGGCGAAGGCCCAAGAATCAGGCCTGACTGGCTCCCAGCTCCATCACTTCCCTGGTCTGACTTTGGACAGGTCCCTTCACCTCCCTGAGTCTCAGTGTCCCCATCTGAAGAACTGGGAACAGCACCCCAGGGTGCTTGTGAGGGTTAAAGGAAATCTGCAGTTTCTTTCCTCCTTGCTGGAGACCTCATGCTGGCCCCCTGAGAGTGGCCGCAGTCTACCCCCTGCCCAGCAATTGCTGGGGGTGGAGCACTGGGGTCAGGGGCTCCCACATACTGTGCTTTGGTTCTGCAGAGAAGGAGAAAAGAGAAAAAGTGAGCCAAGAAGGAGGGGACGTCCTGGGTGGGGGCCACCACGACAGTGCCCCCGCGTTGAGGAGCCGTGAGTCTTGGGCAGGGGGTGGGGCCAGAATCATCTGTATGACCTGGGGTCTGCCCTTCATCAGGCCCCACTCCCTCCTGGGCTGGGGCAAACTCTTGGTATTTTGTGTTATGCTGTTAAATAAATAATACATATTCATTATAGATAAATTAGAATATGTAGATAAAGGAGAAAAAATTACTCATTTCAATGCATGTTCTTCCAAATGTGTCCCTATGCAAATATATAAATATATGTATCCATCTCTCTGTATACATGTAACATCCTGTTATGTGATCTTTTAAAAAACTTAACACCTGTAATGAACACAAAACTTGTAACCTAAACCATTAGTAGGGGAGACATTCTCACCCTGTGGGCAATGGTCCAGCTGCTCTGGGAGGTGCCAGGCAGGGCTCGGGGTGGTCTGGGTGACATCCTGGGAAAAGACATACCTGGGGAAGGAGTCAGGACCAGGACAGCCCAGGAGGCCCTAGGACGGGGCTGGGAGATGAGGCCGGGAAACAGGAGGCTCCTCTCTCACTGATATCCCTGACCTGACTCCTCATAGTGGTCGCCACTGGGAACCTGCTGGACTTGGAAGAGATGGCCAAGGCCCCGCTGTCCACAGTCAGCGCTAATACCACCAACATGGATGAGGCACCATGGCCTCAAGCCTTGACCAGCAGCAGTGTTGTCTGGGTGAGTGGTTGGGTGGCCTGGGGACCCCACTGGGACCCAGCATCCCTCAGCCTGAGCCCCGGATGAGGCCAGGCTGCCCCAGGATCCACGCTCTGGCACTCTGGCACCCATGACTTGCAGGCCTCTGGGAGGGCCAGCCCTAGCCCAGTGGTGCCCAGGATCAGGGTAGGGGATGAACAATGTCCCCTTTGGACCCAGGGCTACATCCCCAACAGGCTTGACTCCCAGCACAGCTGTCTCCTCACAATGCCCAGCCTCTTGGCCTGAGCAGCCACAGCTCGGCCCACCACAGGACCAGCCAAAGGCTCCCTTGTTCTTGGCGTGGGCAGAGTTTGTTCCTGACACTCCTCCCTGTTCAGCTGTCTGAATGAGGGGCCTGAGACTGGGCAGTCAGCAGTTGGCCCCTGCTCACGCTGTGACTCGAGGCAAACCCCCTGACCTCTCTGTGTCTCAGCTTTTTCATCCTCTCAGTGAGAAGAATGACCCCTGTCTGCAGTCTCCCAGGGGAACCTGATTTTTTTTCTTAAAAATTTTCTCATTTGAAAATGATTTCAGACTTAGGAAAAGTTACAAAAACAGTACAAAGAATTCCTGTTCACTCTTCATCCAGATTCCCCAAATGTTAACATCTTACATAACCACGTTATGACGATCAAAATCATTAACATGGGTACAACACTATTATATAACCTACAGCCCTTATGCACAGTTCTCTGCCTGTTCCTCCAGTGTCCTGTTGCTGGTCCAGGGCTCATTGCAGTATCACATTACTTTACCCGTCATGTCTTTTTAATTTAAAAAATTGAGGGACTTGAAAAACTCAGATCCCCCTGTGGGCCACCCAGTGTCCCAGGCTCCGAGGGCCTGCTCTCTGTGGCCTGGGAACCCCCCTGGCCTCCTGCCCCCTTCTCTGGGAGGCGGCGGGGGAGCCTCGCCCATTGTTTTTCCACCGTGGCTGTGGGGTTCCTGCCATCAGTGAGCCCTCACAAGGCTGGGATTTTGGCTGGGCTCTTGGAAGTAGATGAAAGCAAGACAACCTTCCTCCCCACCCTCTTCCTCTCGGAATTTGAAAGCCATGGAAATCATCCGGTCCAACCCCCTCGTTTTATGGAAGGAAAAGCTGAGTGTCAGAGAGGAGCAGTGACTTGCCTGAGGGGTCACTTGAGTAGTGGCAGAGCTGGTAATTGAACGCACCCAGGTCTGTAGGCACGGGGTGCCCTTTCTCCTGTCCCACATCCCAGGTTTGGGGCCATGGGCGGAGAAGCTGGTGGCAACCCCCAGTCGGAAACCTGCCTGTGCCTGTTCCTCCAGGCGCCCGGCCGATCCCCTGCACTTGAGTCCAGAGTCCCTGTAGCTCACCCAGGGCTGGGACCAGCTCCGGCTGTGAGCATGGGCTCCCCCGCTGAGGGTTCATCTCTCTCACTTTGCTTTCCCCAAGGAGCTGGATGATGGCCTGGATGAAGCGTTTTCAAGGTAATGTTAGCTGGGTCCTTGGTGGGCCAGTCTGAGAATATGAGCTCTGATCCTCCCTAGAGCAAAAATCTCAACTGGACTACCTCCAGGAATGGGGAACTCGCCATCTGGGGTTGGCCAGGTAGCCTAGAAAGCTTTGCTATTGCGTCGAAACTATTCCAAGTGGCTGCTCCGCCACAGTCCGCTGAACCGAACACACTGCAGCTCAGGATAATCTCTTCCTACACTTGGTGCAGCCTTCAAAAATTGGCTTTTTTTGAAGGTTTTTTCCCTTCTGAGGTTTTGCACTTATGAAAGGGGCAAGGAGGAGGCAATGCTTCATTAAGCCCGTGGAACATTACGACGAGGGGGAATGTCAGGCCAGCAAGGAGATACTTTGGTCTAGCCTGAGGGTGGTGGCATTTCCCCTTTTTCCCCGGAGCCATTCCTGTAGCCATGGCTGCCTCCTTCAACTTGGGGCCATGCTACCAAAACAGCTGCAGCAGAGCAGAGGCCTCAGCTCGGGGTTCGGAGCACTGGGCTCCCTCCACTCAGGCCACCCTTTCTTCCCTGGGACCCTCAGCAACACTTACAGCCCTCTTCCTCCTTCCCACCCTTTCCTGCCAGAGCCTGATGGGCAGGTGGTGGGGTGGCAGGTATGTCCCTTCATGGAGGCAAAGCCGTTCTTCTTACCATCCTCCCTACTTCACTGGCTGACTGCAATCCCCTTGTTTGAAGAAAATCTACTGTTTGCTTTCTCCAGCTTACTCAAGTAACATGTGCCTTTTATTAACAACTTTGAAAATTAGCAAAGCATTAAATGAGAAATAACACCATCCCATAATCCCACAGCCCACACTTTTGGATTTAATTCATGCTAATCCTGTGCATATACATATTTTTGCATTGATCAGCTCCTTGTATTTGCATGTGGGGATCCTGATTTTCACTTAACACTGACATTATCAGTGCATTTCCCCAGGCTGTTAAAAACTCCTTGTGAACACTTCATTTATTGACTGCCTCACATTCTTCTAAGGATGGGCTGTAATTTTCTTAACTGTTTCCTGTGCTTTGGACATTCAAGTCGTCTCCCTTTTCATATTTATTGTTGAGCAGCACAGGGTGGAATATAGTCAGAGCCAGTAGTCTTGTCGCAGCTGTACTGTGCTGCCCTCAGCAGACGGCTCTCTCTTCTCCTGGGCATTTCCTGATGGAGCAGTGGATAGTGTGGGTGGTCCAGTGTCTTGTGGCGGAAATGCCACAGTTTTCTAAGCCATTTGACTCTTAGGGATAGCCTCTGGTTAGAGGTTCCACCTCTCCTGCATCCAGGCCTTTGTTCTCTGGTCCCTGTCCTGGCATGTCCCCACCCACACCTTCTCACTTCTGACCCTGGTTCTGGCCAGGCTGGCTTGCTCTTCAGGCCCCCGCCAGCCCCTGACCTAGGCCTGCAGCTCATACAGCTCTGCCTTCCAGGCTTGCCCAATCTCGGACGAACCCTCAGGTTCTGGACACTGGACTGACGGCACAGGACATCCATTATACCCAGTGCCTCTCGCCTGTCGACTGGGACAAGCCTGACAGCAGCGGAGCCGAGCACGATGACCTCTTCAGCTTCTGAGGCCCTGGGCGCTGGCAGGATGCGTGACGGACCAAAGCCACTTGTGGCATGGGGGTCAGCTCCAGGACCCCAAGCTGCCCTCTTCCGGTCAGCATAGCTGTCAGCCTGCCTGCTGATAAAGCTGTGGCCAGTCAAGCAGGGGGATGGAGAGGTTTTTTTTTAAACCCCACTCTTTCTCTAAAAACTGAAAGATGCCTTGAATATTTATTCAGTGACTCTGGTTCAGCTCGGAAGCTGGTTTTGCATCAGGCACGAGCATAGTGTTCTGACCAGCTTCCTGCGCTCTCCTGAGCAAGTTCTGCTCTGCTGTGGGTGTCAGTACAACGAACCAAAGTATTTTGTCCCTTCTCTCTCTCTGAGGACCCAGATTTCCCTGAGGCTCCCCTGCTTCTCACTGACAGCCAGATCATTCATCTCTGTCATCTTTGGAGCACAGGAGAGCACCCCAGCTTCAGGAGAGCAAGCATCCTCAGGCCTTCCGGAGCCCCTGGCCCTGGGGGCTTGGAGACAGAGGGGTGACGCCTGACCAAAGACAGTACATTAAAGCACTTTAAAGCATACACAGCAGGTGTGGCCCCCAGGGGCTCCCCGATGGTGCTGCATTGCACAGAGCTTTCTGCCCCGCCATGAGAAAGGGCCCCAAGTTCCTGTGGATGACCCCATCATGCTCGGAACCAGTGTAACTGGCTGCCCATGGACCCTCAGAGTCTGCGACAGTGGGAGTCGTCTGTATGTGACTGCCCTGCGCTGGGGGTCCCCCACCCCTTCCTTCTCCCCCCAGACGAGGAGGCTGTGCCCATTCTTCTGTTTGTCTGTGTGTCTGTGTGGGAATGCCCCTGAGCCCCACCTCCCAGGACTTCCTGGGGTAATGAGTGAAACCCCAACACCTAAGAATATTTTGTTGCCATTTTACAGATGAAGACACCAAGGCCCCAGGTGGAAGGGGTGGCGTCGAATGGAACCAGGTCTGGAGCCAAAGCTGCCTTCTCACTCCACCTCCCACAGCTCACAACTCCTTTTTTTCAAGCTTTGTTGTCCTCCCAGGAACCAAAAAACCCCAGCTATTTTCTGACCAAAATGTGTTTCATAACAAACCATCTGGTGCCTTTCTATGCAGAGCTGGCACGCGCCTCTGTGCCCTGCTAGCTGTCTTGCTGCTGGTTTCTGTGAAAATGGAAGTGTTTGATGCTAATTCAGAGGTAAAACAAAACCAAACTCCAGAAGCATCACGCAATTCTGTCCGGACACTTGACCCTGAGCCAGGCCATGCCAGCAGCAGTCTGTTCTCAGTCTCCCTTCTTCCCCGTTCATCCCACGGGTGTCCTAGCATCCTGAAACCGAGCAAGCTGCCAGCACCTTCCTCCTGAGGTGCCTCCCAGGCCCGGCTTTGCTAAACTTGAGTCACTGATGCTAGTTGGAGCAGGTTTCACTAGCCCAGGAATCGCACCACATCTCCTAGAATCTACTTGTCTAAGTGCTTGAATGGGAGCACAAAGAAGTGCCTGGGGAGGAGAGGGGTGGTATTTGTAGGGGTCTTTATCAGAAGATGGGGAGAATTCCTTTCCCTGCCCAGCTCCTGTACCCCCAGTGCCAACCCCAGACCTTCTTGGTATCAGCTCCCATGTCTGTTATGAGGCAGCACAGGTTGGGTCTGACATAGGCCATCCTTGGCACAAGGGTCCAGTGGGCCTGAGGAAGGCTGTGCTGTGTGAGTTGACTTGCGGCCTGTGTCTCGGTCCCTGGCTGACAAGCAGTCGGTGTGCTCCCTGTATGTCTACTGATACGTTGTGTTGTACTTCACTGTGTTGCTGTAAAGGAAGTTCTAATGAGGAAAGAATAATAAACATTCTCTTTGAAATACAAAGAGCACTTGGAGCAGCCTCGTGGCGTGTGGGAGCGCCTGCCCGCTGGTGGTTGGAGCAGCAGGGACCATAGGCCCAGACGCTGGGATGGTCTGTGGTGCCCTGGCCGAAGCCCCACAGGTAGGAGTGTGTGAGGAGGTCATCTCTGGATAGCTCCACCAGGCTGTTCAGTGATGTGGTGCATCGACACCAAAGAGGTTTCCGGAAACGTACATCACGGCTTCCTGGCCAGGGGTCTGAAGCCTTCGAATGTGCATTTGAGTATGTGTGTCCATCATTTCCGTCACATTCTCAAAAGGGCCCATGATATTTATTCATTTGACAGACTTTGCGCCAAATACAAACTGAGCAAGGGCTCAGCGCTAGGGTCGGTGGCCCAGACAGGGTCCATGTGTGGCTTGGGTATGACGGGACTGGGGTGGGGGATGGTGGAAAGTGTGTTTTAGTGACATGGGAGACCCAGTGTCTATCTAGCTCTGGCTCCACCACTTGGGAGCTGTGACACTGGATCAGTCACTTCTTTCCTTCAGCCTCAGTTTCCCCACCTGGGAAAAGGGTACAACCAGCTCCACACTCTTAACACCTGGGTTTTATGAGACTCAGAGGTAACCATTATATTGTTGGGGGCATCCTAAGACAACTCGAAGGTTATCTCAGAGCAAAAGGCAATTTAGACCAAATATATTTAAGGAAGTCAAAGTAAAATTGATGAGGGCAGCTGCAGTTAACTGAGTTACTATACGCCCAGGGCTATGCTAACTGGTTAACTTCAGCCCATTACAGTGGGCCTGCTGGGTCCAGATGTTATCCACTCCCTTTGCTGCAGGCACCCTGGCTGGGGGAGGAAGGCAGTCTTGCTTCCAGTATTTGGCAGAGTCACAGCCCAGACTCAGGTCTGTGTGACCCTTGACCCTTCCACATCCAGGCCTCCCAGGAGCCATGTCAGTGGTCTTGCTACACAGCACAGAAAGGCTACCCTCTTGGGCTCCAGTGGGGGTCTCTTTGGACATTTCTCTTTGTCCTTTTCAAGCAGTGATATTCACAATGTCCAGAACCCAGAGGCAGAGCCCTCTGATGTCAGCCATCACGCAGACTCGCTTCCGAGTGGATCAGAGGACTTAGAAATTCTCTCCTTCTCCCATAATCTGAAAAGACACCCAACAAGTTACTCTTTCAGTTTAAATTTGGCCAGTGTCTTTGGTCTCTGGATGTTTCAGATTATGAGTCCTGAACACCCGCCGTCTGCTCTTTCATGCATAACGGATGAAGCCAGGAAGAACAAAGTCGCCTTTCAAATTTGATGTGACCTTCAGCCTCACTGGGCAGATGGGGTCTTCTCGCCCAGGAGGAGACACCATCCCAGTTAAATCTTTCCAAGGACTTTTCAGCAAGCCAGGGTAGGGAACCTGAGTGGTCTGTGCTCCCTGTGCTGTTGGGGGGCCTGGTCTTTGCCTTCCTCCTCCTGCCACTCCATGTGTACACATCACAGCAGGTGGCCTGTTTAATTCTTAGGAAGCTAACCTTTCTCTAGTGCTTACTACCTGCCAGGCCCCTTTAGGTCCTTTACACCTAATGTCGCGATACTAGTCTTAATAACCATGCTACGAGGTGGGTGGCCCTAGTCCCATTTTCAAGATGGGATGACTGAGGTGCAAGAAGGGTAAGTGAACTGACCAAAGTCTTACAGCCAGTAAGTAGTGAACCTGGGATTCAAATCCCAATTTGTTTCTTTCCACGGCTGCCCATCCTGTGGTGTGAAGGGAAAATCCAAGCCCAGCTGCCCATGCCCTGCTCTGCCCTTCCCACAGTCCATCAGCAGGCACATGGGAGCCTACTGTCTTCAGAGGCATAGCGGCAGGCCCTAGGCTAGGCGAGATGTCTGAGGCAGGGGCTGTCTTCATAGGCTGCTCATAGACAGATCTTCCCACCTCTTCAGAGGCTTGGGGGGCTGCTTCTCCATGCCCAGTTTAGGACTCAGCAGGGCATATCACATCAGGGCCCTGTGTTGTCCCCAGTAGGCACTGCCCAGCCCATGGAGGAGAGAGGGGGACCAGAGTGAGCCTGATGTCCCTGAGAGAGGAAGGTTTCCTCTAGGATCAGACTCAGTGCGTTGCAGGAGGGGGAACACATCTCTGGAACATTGGCAGCATCTACACATTAGCTAGTTTAAATTGCTGCAAAGTGACTGTGCTAGTAAGCATTGTTAGCCCATTTTAAAGAAGCTGAAACCGAGGCCCACGGAACCTATGTGACCTGCCACCTCCCACAGGTGGTAAGAGGCAGGCCTGGGGTTCAAAGCCCATGTGTTCTCCACTGTACTGGAGTGGCCCTGCCTCTCTCTCTGGGTTGCTTGGAACATTTGAATACAATGACCTTGCTTGCTTAGGAACTTCTGAGCCCAGCACAGAGTAACTGTAGCCAAGTGCCCTGCACACAGATGCTGAATCAGGCTGGCGCCTTTGCTTGGAGCCAGGACAGATGTGAGCTGTGTCACAAGTGCTTGTTGCCAAGCAACAATTCTGACTGTACCTGCTGAGCCTCTGCATGGGGTAGGGCTACCAGGTCTTTTCACAGCCAAAGGGTTGTGGGTCATGGTGCCTGGAAAGCTCCAGGGCATAGGCTAGGCTTGCACCACACCACGGGGATATTGGAAGTCAGAGCTGAGAAAGCCAGCAAAGGCCCCTGGGAGAGAAGAGTGTCTGGGCCTTGAAGGGCAGAAAGGTTGGAGACCACCTTCGCTAGCCTGGGTGCTCTGAGATGCTAAGGCCTGGGTCTGATTCACCTTGTGGCCCCAGGGTCCAGCCTAATGCCTAGCACAGAGTGGCCACCAGTGACTTGAGTCAGCTCATCCAAAGGAGGACATCCAGCCTGGCCCCTGTGAGAACTTGCTGAGAGAAGGGGCGGGCAGCCCTAAGTCAGCAGGCAAGACTAGCCTTGCAGCCCGATGGCTGACTTTGCAGCTTATCTGATCTGGAGGCAAATGTGTCCCATGGCAAAACCCCCATGCACACTGGGCACTGGTGTCCCTGGTCTCTGTCACATACATCCAGCATCCCAGTATACCCAGTCCAGCCTGGTTGGGTGAAATGTGTGGTCCACTCCTCTGCCCTAACTAAGATCTTGGATTTCAAAATGTCTTTAAAGAGGTATTCTAGAATACCAGTGCCTAAAGAGCCCATATGGCCCCCCAGCCCACCCACTTTGTTTATAACTGGAAAACTGAGGGCCAGCAAAGGGACAAGACTCCCCCAAGCCATGTGGGCAATTAAGTGGAACTGAGACTTGAGCCATATTTTTTCCACAGACCCCATGCCCAGTCCCGATCCGTCCCTTAGAAAGGAAATTCTCTTCTCCACATTTGCTGGAAGGGGACCACATGCTCGAGGTCTGCAGGGCTTATGGGGAAGTGGAAATGATTATGATAAGAAAGCTGGGAGAAAGGACCTTGGTGAATTCTCAGGCACGTAATGAGTATCAATTCATCATAAGTCTCTTTATTCTCCCTCCTCAAGGGCTCCAGGGTCTCATCTGTAGCTTGAGCTGCTGGCACAGATGCCTACAAAAGAGAACAGAGAGTTGTGATTATAAGCGTGGTCTCTAGAGCCAGACCGGGTTTGAATCTCAGATTTGCCACTTATTAGGCATGTAAATGACATAATAACTAATGACTTAATAGCCTGGGTCTCAGTTTACTTGTGTGCAAAACAGGATGATAACAGTACCATCCAAATGGGGTGCTGTGGGGAGTAAATGAGTTAATGGGTGAGTTAATACTTGCAAGGTGCTGAGCACACCATCCACCGTGGCTGCCACTTGTTCTAGTCTCGTCATGAGGACTGTTCTCTGGGTGGGGTGGGACAGTGGGGAGACAAAGACCAGCGTCACCCCACAGGCCCAGTTGAGGAGGAGACAAGTCATGTCCTACCCAGTTGCCACCCAATGCCACCCAAGTGCACATACTGTGGCTCCTCCCCACCATCAGAAAGTGTCCTCAGGAAAAATTCTAGGAACTTCCTAGTCCAGTCAGGGTTCAGTCAAGAAAACATTCCACCCTAGCTGCTTCAAGTGGGAAGCAAATCTCTTAATAAAGAGATTCAGCTCCTGGAAAGGCCAGGGAGGCTCCCACAAGGGTTCGGGGAATCGGAACAGGTCGGCATTGAGGCAGCTGCGGCTCCTACAGGGCCCATGTGATCCAATCTCATTGGCAGCAGCTGGTGAGAAGCCTGCTGGCAAGGGAGGCAGGGTGTCATTCAGGTGTCCAACCCTGAGCTACAGGAGGGCACAAGGAAGAGAAGGAACGTGGTGCTGAGACACCCTCAGGCCGCCTGGAACCCCTCCTTCTGTGACACCTCTGGTGTGCTTAGTCCAGAGAAAACCTCCCTGGCATCCTGCCACCCTGACCGTGTGCCAGGTGTTGTGCTGAGGGTCATGCACCATCCTCAACCCACAGGGCAGCGTGTGAAAGCCGAGTCTGAGAGGTAAAGCGACCTGATGAAGCAGCGGCAGAACCAGCACTACAGCCCAGGTCTGTCGGCACGCGAGCTTGGGCCCTGGCCCTGGGCGCTCCCTGAGCCCGGCTGGGCTCAGGGTCATGCGTTCACCCCCACAGATTGCTTGGAACATGGCACCAAACCAAACAACAAAATTCCATCCTCATGGTGTTGACATTCCACGAGGGAGGGGGAGTACTGACCCCCACCAAACATGAATAAATAATCTATGTGGCGCTCAGTACTATGAAGGAAAAAGCAGAAGGAGAAGATAGAGAGCAACATGCTGGGGCAGTGATGCTTGCATAGGGTGGTCAGGGACATTTGAGCAGAGACTTAAAGGAAGTAGGGAGGCAGGTGTACGGCTACCAGAGGAAAGAGCATTTGAGACAGGAAATAGCAAACGCGAAACCATCAGGCAGGCAGAGGTGGATTGTGCAAAGAATAGGCAAGGAGGTCAGCGTAGTTGAAGAGGAGAGAGCAGGGCAGTGAGGTCCACAGCAGGTCCGGCC